GCGCCGATGACGAGAAATGCGACAACTGACAATCGAACTGAACCGAAAGCCGCCGTGAGTAGCGGTGGCTTACCCCTTGAAAAGGCCCAGCGGAGGCCGCCGCCGCCGGATAAGGTCGGTGCCCTGCAGCATGAGGCCACCTCAACAGACCCTGGACCTAGCTGACGAGCCCAAATCCAGGCGACGAGCGAGGCCAAGCCCGGGGTCTCGGTACCGTAGGGGTGTAGGGACCTCCCGGCTGTGCGACCGAAGGGCTGGAGCCCACACCGGAGGATGCTGACCATCTCGACAGACTGTTCTGCCGGAGCCCGGATCAGTCTGTACTCGGTGGTTCCAGGATCTTCTAGTGTCTCGTGCCGGGGTCGACGAAGGGCAACAATGATCGATCTGATGCCTTGCGAGGGGCTCGGCACTCATGTGACAGCTGTAGTGCCTCCCCTGCAAAGTCCCTGCTTCGGCGACTCTGTTGGCTCGCAGAATCGACATGTCAGGCCGTTCGTTGCTCGTCATGGTCGGGTGCCAGACGAGCCAGGAGCGAAGTCCCTGTAACGAACAGACAATTGGTATAAAACTGACGATGGGTTCTTGCTGGCAGTGCTGAAGTGCCGGACGTGGCCCCCCCTCCTAGCAGATGGTGCAACCACCAGACAACAACGACAACAAGAGTATATACACACGCCTGTGATACCCAACCCGGAGGGCGCCATCAACCAGAACGTCCGACTCGCGATGGATCACTCCTTCGACAAGACACATCGTGAACAAGAACAAGAACCAGTTTTCATCGACTACTTCCTTGACGATCCCGAGGTACGTTCTCACTTCTCCACTCCACTTCCATCCTTCTTTTTGCCCCTTTGCCTCTGCGCTTTTACATGCTGCTTCCGGTACCTGAATTCCACAGACGCATGTTTGGGGGAGCCTCTCGATATGCACACACACACAACACACACACACACATGTTGCAATGCACATGTGTATACTTGGGGTCAATCCATCTTCAGGCCCCAGATGGAGCTGACGTTTCGGAAACAGCCTGTTCTCCTTGTCGTCCGTTGCCTCGGTGGCCCTCCTCCCCCGTCTTTCTCCCCCAGTGACCGAGCCTGCGGTGCGGTGCGGTGCAACAAAGAACAATGCTTCTAACGGCATTCTCAGCAATTGGGCTCGACACCACCACCCTTGGGCCAGACGCCGTTCTTCAGCACCGCAGGGAGTGCTGTCGATCACCTACAGGGGGGTTGTGTCCGCCATGGTGGCGGCGACCACGCCATGCCCGTCGGCCATCGTACGACCCCAACCTCAGCCCACCCACCACTACCACCACCACCACTACCACCACACCTGGCCACTGAGCCACGACCCCAGAGCCACCAACAAGCACGACACGAACGGTTGATCCCCGAGCCGCTGTTCCGCGGGCACCACCTGCAGTCGCCGATTTTCGGGAGCGGGCTGCATGTCAATGCCCCTGCTGGCACCGCTCCATCGGCGATCCAGCCCCATCACGACGACTGGGCGGCGTTGCCCGACTTCAGCGCCGGCTCTCTTGCTTTCCCTTCCCGAGCCGAGGCGTTCCTGGAGCCGCCAGTGGGCGCGACCAATGTCATCGACTTTGGCCTCGGCGGCGCCACCACAAACCACCATGACTACACGGACAACATCACGCCACTTCCGAGCGCCGCGGGCCATGCGGACCACGCGAGAACGACACTCGACCACTTTGACTTTGACTTCGCCTTTCCCTCGCCGTCATGGGGCCCCAGCTTGGATGATGCCATGTCTTCCTCGCTCGCCGTCGCTGTCGGAGCAGGGACCACGTCCCATCCTCGCAGCGCCTTGGACGACGAGAGCGACCACAGGGATACCTTCTGGGCCGACGAAGACTCATCCTCCGTTGGCGGCCGCCCATCGCCTTCGACAGCCGCCCGCAGGCGCCTCCCAAAGGGCAAGCACCGCGCCGACTCGCTCGACGGCGCCAGCAGCAGCATCTTCAGCACCGGCACCGACGACACGGGCGGTTCCCACGCCGCCGGTGCCGCCGATCTGAGCCCCGGTCTGCTCCCGCACGCAGGCCACGGGTCCGAATTCAGCCCCAGCCCCGGCACCATCACCAGGACGGAGCCCTCCCACCACCCCGGGCCTACGGCCGCCGGCCGCCGCCCCCCGCAGCAGCAGAAGCCAAAATCGGTTCGGGGACGACCGGCCTCGGGCCTTCATCCTCAAACGCCACACCGGCCGGTCGTTCCGGACACGCGCGCCCCCCAAAAAGGGCGGCGGCGGCAGCCACGGCCCGCCCCGCCTTGCGCAGGGGCCTCGGGGGCCTTCCAAAAAACGCCGCCCGGCCGCCCCGGCCGAAGCCGGCC